CCCTATACTTTGTCAATTGGCCTCAAAAACTCGATTTTAAGTGCATTAGAAAGCTGAACTCTTCCTCTCGAACTTTCATAAGATCAAGAACTATGTAGCTAGTATGACAATCATTCTATGGATCTGTATGTACAAATGTATAAAAAAGATGATATCTTTTTTAGAAGCCCAGCATGCTGTGTGGTCCCATTATGAACTATTTGGAGGACAATTCCAGCTTACCAATGCACTCAAAATCGAGCGTTTTGGACCGGAATTGAAAAAGTTATGAGTATTTTCAGAAATCAAAAGTTTCTCTAAACACTAATGAGCCAAATTTCAGTGCTTGTTACAGGTTGTAATTGGATGATTGTGAAGGTTGATTGTTAGTACACTTATCAATAGGGATTGTAAAGATACGGAAAAACATGCGGAGTGAAGTTCTCAACGCAGGGAACAAGATGCATATTTTTATTCATTTTTTGCTCTCCTCCTGGCCTCTCAATATTTTTGTGTATCAATAATTTAATTTTCTGCCCAGAAAATATTATCTTTCTTGTAGTGTCACTCTCAACACAACTACACACCACAACTACACCGATATACTATTCCTTTCGATAACACTCCAAGACGTTTCCCACCTCCTCGATTCATAAAGAACACATATCACTATGATGCGCTCTGGACTCCGACGAAACCGGTCGGCCTCTTCACCCCCTTCCAGCTCTGGCAGCGAATTGCCAGAGATCACGACTACCGCGCGCCAACAAAGAATCACTCGAAACCAAGGAGGCCAAAGCAGAAAACGCAAGCGAGCAAGACCAAATGACGACGAAGAAAATGAGGATGACCTTGACCTCGGAGACGACCACGATGATGAAGACGAAAATGATTTGTCTGAGCGACCCAATCTCAGCAACTTTTGCAAACTGGGCTGTGAATGGGGAATGCCTCGCGCTGAGGAAAGGCTCTCTTCTCTCAACCTCCCCAAAACCAACCGGCTTTCAGCGAGCGGCCTTTTTGAGGCACAGTCATTGCAATCGGAGTATGAGTTGGATAAGACTATGCTTTGCATTGTCTTGAAATGTAGCCGCCGAGTTTTGGATGAAGCTCTGTGAGTTTAATCCTCCCTCCCCTCATCATAACCTGAAACCATTGAACTAACCTCATTGTATTATACCTGTCAATTATTAGATTGGAGAGCCCATTAGCACGCGAGCCAAATATGTACACAAATTATCAAACGTACAGTCTGGTTGCCACCACTACTATAAGTAAGATATTCTGTTAATATTTTGTCATGCAAAGAGTATGAATTCACTAATTGAAAACAATCATATCTGTCAGTGCCACCGAAAGGTGTCTCCATAGGCTTCAAGGAGCGCAATGCCATAGTCGGCTCCACATGGTCCAACTACGAAAAAGAAGAACAGGAAGTTTTCACTCCTCAATTATTCGAGCGGTCATGCCTAGCAACTAGCGAGGCCTACACCCTCACTCAACAGCCTCTGGGATCACTCCTCTCTCACTTAAAGATACCACTACTAAACCCCCCCCATCGACCTTAGACCCCTCAGCCAAGAAGACCTGGACAAATATGTTCCGGTATTCAAGCGTCTAGTCAATATTACGAAAGTCTCACACGACTTATACCAGGGTCGCTTGTGGAGGCACAGCGGCAAATCAAAAAGTCGATCACTAGAAAAGATGATGACACTCGAAATCAGCAAAATCATACGTCACGTGAGCTCGCATTAAACATTTTTACGTACACCAAAGGACCAATTCACTAACCTTTTATATGACCATTAGCTCCATTTATTGAAAAACCATTTCAATCTCCAATTTCACCTTCTGGTTGCGAGCTGGAACCCAGTGTCAACAGCCAGCAAGGCCCTCTTTCAGAACGAATACACTCATGTGAACGCTGGGCCCGCAATCAGAAGAAGATCACCTCCTGGAATGTTTTGCTTTCGAATCTACTAAGGCTCCAAATCATATGCGCTCTAAACCACACGAACCAAAGCCTATGTCAGAAGGAGCAGCCCGTCAAGCCCAAAGACGGACAGAGCTTGCAAGTGCCCTCAATGATTTGATAGGTAAGCTTGTATTCTCCATATTCCTTTTTTCATTTCATTCGCATGTGCTGACCAAGGCTTTTGAGAAGCCCCATATCTTCGTGGTGGGTATACGGGCAGGGGTGACGCACATCCCAAAGTTCCTAACTTGAAGGCCGGCTTTGAAGAAAAAACCTTTCGCGGCCGCGTCAAGCTCACTTTCAATTGCACACCTCAGAGCCGGATCACGGAGCTCATGATATCCAAGGGTCCTGGGCATCTTTCAAATGACGAAGTAGACATTTGGATTGATGACATCAAAAAGAAAAATTACACCATTATACCTGTCCGCGTGAGTGATGTGGAAGGAGATGGTCCAGATGATGATTCCACTACGGGGCACAATAATGCCCAAATCAATTCCGCTGAAATCAGAGTGCCCAATGACCCCGACCAAAGCTTACTGGCAGAGTTATAAAATTTGGAATGAATATGTTTTGTCGAAAAATTTTATACACAATATCTCTCATTAGTTGATAATGTTTTCCTTGAAAAGACCAAAATTTTGTATCTCTCTGATTGTTATTTTGTCAACTATCTCATTTGGTCGGTCCAAAATAGAAGAAATGCGAAATTAATTAAAAGTCTTTAGAATTTTTGTCTCATGCACCTGGTGAAATGCAAATGAGTAAAGCTCACACATTAGAAGTGCTTATCAGTGAGTATTATAGACCTTTAGATATATTCATTGATCGAACCAAGGCATCCCCCAACTACACTAGAAGTCAAGCCCCGAGTACACTTGGTAACACCGGTGCCAGGATGTTTGTAGTACTCGATCTTATGTGTATTGTGGAATAGTTACACATATACATAGATTTTACTGTGGTAAGTATCAAATTTTAAGTGTTATGTTTTATGTGATCAATATCGTACAATATGATATTACACTAATTTGGAAGGAACCCTCTTACCAACCCTAATACCACCTCATCCTCTCATCCTCCGTCTCCCACCTCCGGTAGGCGATTAGTAGGCAATCGAACAGATAAACCCACTCGCAGCCGGTCCCTACGAGTTTCAGTAATCAAAGTTTCGACTCCAATATTTTATCACTCGTCTACAAATCAAGAGAATAGGTCAGTAATTATCTTTCTCCTCTCCTCGATCTAAAATTTGAAATGCTTACTGACCTTTTACATTGCCAATCACCACCTCAGGTAATCACAAGTATCCAATTCTGCCTTTGTCACCCGGCTTATTCTGGATGTGATTGCAGAGGTCGCCTTTTTCTCTCAATTACGTAGTCTGGTTATACTTCATCTCACTTGTCTATAGGTGAGTACTCATGTTTTGAAGCTCAAAGCAAGCGTTGGAATACTCACTGACTTCATACTTTTCTGGTAATCAAAGAAGTCACAAGGCTCCAAATCAACTACCTCCACCTCGATACTTAGGACTTAGTAAGTAAGTCATCTCTTCAAGCTAATCATTCGCTTGATATCCGGCTAGGCCACCTTGGGGTGATTTTGAACCTACAAGCCAGGGGGTGAGTTATTGAATTAGCGCTGGGAGGAAAGACGGCTTCTACTCAACTTGACGTCCACCCAGTTTGCTAACGCAGTAAATCGCCCCTTGAGGAGTATTTTCCCAATCCCACCAAGGTGACTATGACATATCAATACTAACGAGGCGATTGCCACGGGATGTTTTGGATGTTTCAAAGCCGGGCAACATGTCTACGGACCTCGATCCTGGGTGGGAGAAAAGAAAGAGGGACAAGTTCCCTAGCATTTCGCATCAGAGGTAAGTCTAGAATGGTATTACAAATTAGTATACAGCAAACTGATTTTCGGCATCTGTTTAGTGATTCCACCTCCTTGCCTGGTGTTAAATACCTCTCAGATTTTCTGAAGCCGATTGACGAGAAACGTCAAACTGGATTTTGCGATAATGATGTAGGCCACATCTCCTTTTTCGGTTTTCTTTCCGTTTTCTCTTTCCGTTATTGAAGAAAACTGATGTTATTTATTCTCTTCTTATATTCGCAGCTCCCCCAACCTTTTCGCAATGGCAAATCTTATGCACATGTACCACATGAGTACCTTGCCCCGGATGGATTTCCACGGACAGAACATTGGCTCAATCCCACTTGCCAATTTGCTGTACTCAGCACGGATCAAATGTCGGGCAAAGGACGACTCGTGTAAGCCAACTTCTCTCTTTCTTTCGATAATTACTCACACTACACAAAATATAATATTTTCTGGGCAGAAAATTAAATTATTGATACACAAAAATATTGAGAGGCCAGGAGAAGGGCAAAAAATAAATAAAAATATGCATCTTGTTCCCTGCGGTGAGAGCTTCACTCTCCATATTTTTCCATATTTTTACAGTCCGTATTGATTATTGTACTAACAATAAACCTTCATAAATCATCCAATTACAACCTGTAA